TTTAATTATTAGTGTTTTTAGTTTTAATTTGTGTAAAGTAAATTAAAGTGTTAATTTAGGTAATTTTATCGGCAATTTTTATTGTCACGAACCTCAAGCTCGTAACAATAATACATATTTCAAATTTACTGAAAGAACGACTCACACCGCACACATCCCACTAACTCACTTACACTTAACCATAATAGCGTACACTCCGGCCTTTGTTAATATACTAAAATAGGCTGCCTTCGAAAAATCATGCAAATGATTTGTCTATTATATTTTTATACACAGCTTGGAAAGTCTGGCACTAGTACTAACCTTTAATTAAGTATAATAAATAATAATAATTATAATACATTTATTCACAAGAAATATGGTACAAAGATGTTCTTATAAAATAATAATGTATCCACATATTTCACCAATTTTGGTATGTGAAAACTTATGGTTAGAATAATAAATAAAATTAAACGTACATCAGTTTACAATTTTAATATTAATCCTTTAAAACACGATCAAATAAGATACAGCGTTTAGCAGTCAATAGAAAGTTCTTTTATTTTTAGCAGTACATTTACCGAATAAAATTGTTTTTCCAAAAGCCACTTTAATAAATTACGTCTAAATCGATTATAATCTAGTTGCCTTATTTCATTTGGGATTTTATTAAACACTTGAACAGCCATCACATAGCATTTTTTTGAGTTACAGGCAAATTTTTTATGAAGGTAAAATAATTTTCTCTTGGTATCTGGTACTATATGTTACTGTATCTTTTAATCTAGTAAAAAATGAGGATACTTTTTTACGAATATTGAAAGTTCAAAATGTACATGGATGGTAGCGTAAGAACACCCAATTCTTTAAATAGTGGTTTGCAAGAAACGAGTGGCCCCACACCACAAATTGCTCGTATACAGCGTTTTTGTGCTATAAAAGCACGGTTTCCATCAGTCGAGTTTCACCATAATATGAGACCATATCTTAATACAGCAGCGACATATGCATGATATGCTATAAGAGAAGTGTTTCTTGTCGAGATTGAAGTTAGCCTTCGCAGAGCAAAATTAAATTTAAATATTTTAGAACAAACTTTATCTATGTGATTTTTCCAATTACTATGTTTGTCTAAACTAATACCTAAAAATGTGGTACATTCAGTAGCAGTAATTTTTTCACCATTATACTTAATATCAAGTAATTGCGGTTTACTTTTAACATTGTAGAATTGCATAAATTTAGTTTTAGATAGATTTATACTTAGATTATTGTTTTTTATCCATTTAACAACATTTACAATAGTATTATTTATTTCATTTTCACATTCTTTATTACTATAATTAAAGTTTATTTTCGGTATTAAAATAGAAATGCCGTCAGTAAATAATATTGTACTATGTTTGATGTAATTTGGTAGGTCATTTATGTAAATTAAAAACAGTAAAGGACCTAAAACACTCCCTTGTGGCACTCCGTAATCATTTGGTAAATAAGAAGATTTAAATTTTAAAATTTCTTGCCATTTTTTATCTTTTTGTTGTATTTCAACACATTGTTTTCTATCTTTTAAATAGCTATGTATCCAGGAGTAAGCTGGCCCTCTTATATAAGCTTTAATTTTTTTTAAGAGAATTTAAAAAAATTAAAACTAACACTATCAAATGCTTTACTCATATCAAAATACACTGCAGAAATCGGTATTTTTCTGTTTATGTAATCGGTTACCATTTTTATATGGGAAAAGTTGCCAGTGTCGTAGATTTACCTGTTTGAAAACCAAGTTGCTCCGGTTTTAATATATTAAAATTATTAAAAAAATCTAAAAGTCTTTCATTCATAAGTTTCTCATACAATTTTGATAATATTGATATTAATGTAATTGGTCTATAGTTATTAATATACCACGGATAATTTCAATTCTTTAGGAAAAATTCCCGCTTCAAGTGACTTATTAATGAGAAAACGTAATACGTCTATAATTTTTCCTAGACACCTCTTTAAAAGTTTTGTTTGTATTTCATCACAGCCAGTAGATTTTGTGTTTTTAAGTGATGAAATATGGTTCTTATTTTCCGTTATATCACATGGTCTTAAATAAATACTAGATTGATTTCTTAGACTAGTTACGCTTAATTTTTTCGCACTATAATGCTGATTAAATGTTCTAGCTAGTTCAATGGGATTTAGTATATTTTGATTATTGACTTTGAGTGTATCAATGAGATTTTGATGTGTCTGTCTATTTTCTTTAATTAGATTCCAAGTGGCTTTAGTTTTATTTTTTGAGTTAAGTACGTATTTGTGATTCATCCGCTTTTGTGCCATATATAATATTCAAATGAAAATATTGACAAAGGTAATAAAGTTGTAATCCATTTTTAACTGCAGCTGTACTACGTTCTCACAGAATACCAGCGTATAAATATCACCTAAAATAATACATTTTTTAAATTTACTGAAAGAACGATATTTTGAACAAATGTGAAAATGGCTAATTGTATCACGACATACTGAATCCAAAGGAAGCTGTAGAATGTCTTTCGAGGCTTTTTTGCAGATACTGTATGTTCCAAGAATACTAGATGAACGGCCACGTTTTATTGTTTGTTTGAGTTTTTGGAAACTGCAGATTTGAAATCAAATATATGTAAAGGCATAATATATTGGTCTGAATGTATAGGGCGCCTAAACAACTAGGCATTGACAATGCACAGGTCTACAACGTGGAAAAAATATTTTGTACCACTGGCAAGAACGCAATTGGATCCTATAATAACTCAGCATCGAATACAGCAAGTCAACTTCACGAATATGCTGATTATAAACATCGACGGCTTGGGGAGACATATCTTTATATTTTTTTCTTGCCCAACATAATGCCGTTTTGTTGTTATCGGCTCACTTCTCACATATGCTGAAAGTTATCAGCTTTAGATGTAGATGCAGACTGTAATATAATTAATGGCACATCATCATTGTCAGAGAAATCAGACTTCGAGTCAAGAATAATAATATTACGTCCTTTTCAACGTTGGCGAATAGAGTTAGATTTAAAAATCATCACCGTTAGAAGAAATACCATCGTCACTCAAGTTGCCATCACCATGAATAATAAAAGGGCAAAGGATCCATTTCTGAAATAAGTAAACAATAATCTTGAACGCATGCGAAGCCATATGAGACCACATGTTTTACAGTAACACATACTAAGCCAAATACATTTAAAAAAAACAAATAAGAATGCAACCCTTCCCTTCCCGACTTTGGTGTTCACATAGACTGCAATATAAATTTGCTTTGTCACTCTTTCCTCGTTCAGCCTATCAAAATTACAGAAAATAAACAAAATAATAAAAGCAATAAAAATAACAAAATATACAAAATTACAGCCTATCAAAGTCCACCGCTGGAGACGGCAATAGTTGCCACGCTTTGCCGCAACGAAGGAGGCGGTTTGGCAACCGCAGTTATTGTTTTTCGATAATTAAAAAAGTTAATTGGAGCTATTAGCTTCTGTCACATACACACACGCCCATGCACACACAGACGCGCATTTCCATACACACGCACGCACGCACGTACGCGCGCACGCGCGCATAACACACGCAAAGTCAAACACATAAATTTTATTCAATAGAAAAAACTACTTTAAACATTAATGATTTAAAAAAAATTATATATTTTCTTCACCCATTTAAATTAAGCAAATACTAAATGATAGCGCATAAATTATTTTGATACATCACTGCAAACTACATCCAATTTGGTACAGCCCTTATGGAGATTATCGTGCACATTCGCACAGACAAAAATATATTAACGATTTGATTATAAGTATGAAAGAAAGCTCTATGCCGTGTTTGTGTATTGAATCTAGGAAAATACATGAACATACATAAACACTCACGCCTGTCACCCAGAGGGGTAGGCGGAGACTACAGACTTCCATTTAGCACGATCCTGACATACCTCTCTCGCTTCCTCCACATCCATATACCTACGCATACATGCTCGTTGATTATACTCATAATATACTCATAATATATCTTTTTAATATTATTTTTTTAATATTATATCGCCAATTTGGTCGACAAACTTTCGACTAGGGCGTCCCTTTCCGACTCTTCCATCACAGATTAATAAATACTAAATGGTTTACCAATCTTCCATTCACATCTGCAACATATATTTGCTTTGTCAGTCTTTCCTCATTCATTCTTTCTACATGAAATAATGAAAGAAAAAAAATATTTCAAGAAAATAAGAAATAATTTATTTAAACTACACTATCGTTTTTAAATACCTACGAATATATATGTATACCGTAAAATTTTGTTTTATATAACCTATTTACATACACTAGTTCTTGTATTGTAGGTTATGAATTTACTAGTTAATATAATGTTAATAGACATTTATAAGCATTGCTTTGTTCCTGCGTATTAAATATCAGCCTAGAATACACGCGGATCAGCTTATCGTATCTACGAGTATATAACGTGTTTTGATTAAAACGTGAACCAATGACAACTGGTTGCTTAGAATTAGAAAAAAAAATCGATGCATTAGTTTTTGTTAAGTTACTTAAAACACATAAATGTTTATTTTAAAATATAATATTAATTGAAACTTAAAGGGAAATGATAGAAAAGGAAAGGTTGCAATTTGTAACTTTTCAAGTATGTATTTGATTGTTGCGGTAGTGCATCGCAGCGTGCAGCGGCGGGGCGGGCGGTTCGCATGGCGGCGCTGCAATTTTCCCCGCCCGCACCTCTAGAGCGCGCGAATACCGCGTTTTCCGCGAGGGGCGCGACGGCCCCCTCGCCCGCTAGAGCCGGGAAATCGCTCGTCGCGTCGCTCCACTCAACTCAGTTCGGCTCGATCGTCGCACTACAACGACGCGTACGAGTCGCGCGCTGCACTTGTGAGCCTCCGCTCCGATACTCTCGCAGCGACATTCGCACGTATCGCGCGCGTCTTCATAGTGAGCCCGTGGCTGCAGCAGCCGATCGAAGTTGGTAGGTGCGGGCGGCAGGATGCTGCCCGCGCTAGCGTTGCTGGCGTTGCTGGCGCTGGCCGCGCCGGTCCCTGTGGCCGCACGCCGACACGCGCCTGATTTGCGTGAGGACGAACCCGCTCGACGCACCACACGTCCAGCCGGTGAGTGCCTCTAGCTCAAATGCACTTATTATTCAACACATCTGCAACTCTCACACCGTATGTCGGTATATCATTGTGTGATCTATACCAAACTGCATTAGCCGCGTGTGTTTATGTAAATAATTACATTCCGAGATTGTCGAGCCCGGCTTACGAGAGTGACGCGGTCAATTAAAACGCACGAACGCGAACAAGTAAGCGGAGGACGTTCATAGAGCGGCAAGGCGTGCCGTTTACGACACTATTAATACCTATATCGTACGGCGATATTGAGAAGATAAGAATCTTGTCAATATCGATGTCAGCGATGTGTTATATAAACAATGCCACGTGAGAGAGGTAGGCTTTCCTTTCAATGTCGATACAAATGTTAACATCAAGTGATCTATTTTGGTAGTACGTTACAATAAGCTATCACTTTTATCGGGCAAAGACTCCAGAAGATAAAGTTGACAACAAATTTGTAAGTAGCGAGTGACCACACTTAAGAAGGCCAGGAAGAATATTAAAGTTTAAACGAAGGATTATAAATATGTTTTCATTTAGTTCGAATCACTTTCATCTACACCTTCCTCCATATTTCTCTCAGAAATAAGTGTAGGACTGTGCCCAACAGTGGAACGTATACAGGCTGTTAGCTTAAAATTTTTACTTTGTAATTTTATGTAATATTTGTCGTTTAAAGTATAGTACCTATTAAACAGATGACGCACGCATGGGAATATTTATAGCTTCAGATTTATCAAGATAGAACTGCCATAACAAAAAATATTCGGTTGTAAAAAAACTTGATACATACTTCCGAATTAAGGAAAAGTTTTGATTTTGTTTTATGTAATCGTTTTTTTTAAGACAAGACTTGAGGTAGGTAGGTGAAATAATTTAGAGGAGTTAGATTTTTTTATATTATAAACACACAGTCCATCTGATGGTAAGTAGGTGCTGTGGCATATAGATACCCACATCTATCCATGATTAAAAATCAAAATGCGTTGTCGCCCTTGAGGACTAAGATGAAAGGCCTCATTTGCAGTAAAGGAGATCTCTTACATTGATCATTCGAAACACGGCAAAGTTAAGCTTATTTTTTACGCAGATACTATGACAACCTAGATCTTCCCCGGTTGAGCCGACCCATTCGTGCTACAACTCTAACATAAATGCAGCTCGTTCCTACTACGTCTCAAAATTAATTTATACTTTATTACTGTTGACTACTGTTGGCTATTATTATTATTCGTGAATGAAATAAATCTTTTTTTTTTTCATTTATATTACGCTCGACGGATTAAGTTAACTTATCATCAGGTGAGTCAATGATCGTTTGCTCCTCTTCTAAAAAACTTTGTAACTTTGTAATTTTAGTCTGTGTTCATGTTGCGTTCATGGATGCAATTTTTTTAAGTATTTTATGGAGAGAAAGTCTTCAAGCGTTAAAACAAAAAGGCCTTTAAGTAACTTACATTATGTCTCTTCACTTCCCGTAATTTTTAATAGTTAAAATGGTAAAATTAATTATTTAATTATGTCACAATGCTATCGACTATTCCAAATCAATCCGTGGATGTCGTAAAAAGGTAACCGAGGGAAACTGAAACCAGATATAGAATTCGCACTCTGAGACAATCTGTGGCGAAGGCATTATAATAATGATCAGCTGTTGACTTTTAATAGCTTATAATGAAAGAATGAATGAATATTATTAAAAAATAATTTCTTAAATTTACGCGAATGCTACACATTGAATAAAATTATATATTCGGATTTTAAATTATTCGAAATTAAACGTGGTAGGTATCCGAATATATAGTTTTATTCAATTATTAAAGAAATTATTTGTAAGGTATAAGGATATTAGTTAGATGTAGAAATATATTTATTACACTAATTTTGTATTGGTGAATGCTATAACGACGATCTTGATCATAAATATCGTATTCATCTTTAAAAACCTACGTCACAACGTCAAATAAAGTTAAAATATGAAGGCTGTAAACCTTAGGTGAGATGCTGGGAGGCTTGTTAAGTTTATTATTTCGAATTTAATAAAAATATACTTGGATTATATTATGTATGTATATAGATAGAGTATACAAAATACATATTATATTTTATATGTAATTTTAAAGACGGGCAAGAAATAAGCCATACAACTTTAAAAATCTTCACACACAATCCCTAACGGGGTAGCCAGAGAGAACAGATCGCCAAGTGTCACGATCCTTATATACCTCTTTCGCTTCTTTCAGGTTCATTAACTTCTTCATACATGCACGTCTAGGTATCCGAGTACTCTTGACCCTCCCCTCTTCGAGCAATTTGCTCATATGGTCTTCGAAAGTTAGTCTCGGTCTACCTCGACACCATTTAATATTTACTTTCGCTCTATATATTTTCTTCACCATTCGGTCTTCACTCATTCGTTCAACGTGCCCAAACCATTGGAGTACGCCCCTATCAATTTTTGTGATAAGGTCATCTTTCAATCCTGCCATATTGCGAATCTCTTCGTTTCGCTTTCGGTCGGCTAAGGTAACGCCACACATTTTACGAAGAGATCGCATCTCCACTACGTTCAACTTGCTTTTATGCTTCTTCTGGTATACCCAGGTTTCGCTGCCATATAACAAAGTCGGTACCAACACTGCATTATGTATTGCAAGGCGTGCACTCTTCACCACGCCTTGCCTTTTTACTAATGCATTCAGGGCACCATTGACTTTGTTTCCGGCAGCGACACGCCTATCCACATCTAAATCACATCTTCCATCCCGGCTGAAAGCACTCCCCAAGTATACAATTTCATTTACCTGTTCTAGACATTCCTGATTTACCCATATTTCACATTTCGTTCTCTCTTCGTCCTTTTCAAATACCAGAACCTTAGTTTTATTAGCATTCAAACGGAGACCTTTAAAAAAAAAACTTTAAAAATGGGGATTGGGAATTTATTCTAGATAACTTTTTCATTCTTGACCAAGCAGTGGCGGTGCAAGAATATCCATTACCCCATATCGTCCTATGGGTGTCGTAAGGGACGACAGAGGGAGACAAACCAGGATATGGGCTGCAGCGTCTTCTTAAATGCCATAATGCGTAGAAAAGCAGCGTCTCTCCTGCAGCGCTTACGTACCAGCAACAACGGCATTCTAAGGGTAATTGCTGCCAGGCCCGACTGCCACATACTGCACCACTGTATGACGGTAGCTATTGGGCGAAAAAAATAATTTGTACATAATTAACGTTAACTAACTATCCTAACTTAGAAGTTAAGGAAAATTGTTACTAACATACTAACAATCTATGGATGTTCCTTACGTCTGAAATAAACACTTATTATTATTATTATTATTATTAAACTGAAAATTAAAAGCTGCGGTTATCGACGCGCATGTCATGCGTGGCAATGATGGCAAATATCCCCTCTATAAAGCAGTCTATGGGGAGGTCTATGTTCAGTAACATAGTCTTATGTAGGTCTGAAATTTATAGTTTTTTGACGTGGTAGAGCCAAGCTGCAGCTATATTATGGTTGTGGCATGAATGGGTCGGCTCGACCAGGGAAGGACCACGCTCTCACAGAATACCAGCGTAAAATAGCAGCTTAATACTGCTGTGTTTCGTATGGCGAGTGTAGAGATCCGGAGACCCTTTTTTACTGGTACGAGGCATTCCATTTTAGTCCTCAGGGGTGACAACGCATCTGCGTTTTGATTCTTAATCGAGGATAAATGTAGATGTCTATGGGCCACAGCATCCACTTACCATCAGGTGGACTGTGTGCTCGTTTGTCGTCCTTATTCTATTTAAAAATGGTCCTATATTTAAGTGGGATTTAAGAGGAGAGAGAGAGATTGCAGCGGTGGTAATTGCCTAGTATGTCGTAAAGGCAACTGATGGGATATATTTTTTTTTATTAATTCCTTATGGTTGTCGAACTTTTGTTGAAATGATGGTTTCTATTTGGTCCACATTTAGCTTTGATTTGTGTCAATATTTACTTTTGATAACTTTTGACAATGGTTTTCATACTATATTTTAATAATTTACATTTTACGATTAGAATATGATTTATGTCACTGATGGGGTATTGGATTTGTGATTGTGTACAAGCAATGGGCTAGCCACCTATCACTTCTTTTACAATTTTCTATCCAATACCCATATATTTGGCTAAAAGTAGTGCACGTAGCTCACTTCTCTTTGGACCCTTCCTCCTCGGGGATTACAGGCATAAGTGATATGATAGGGACTGTAGTGATGGGGACTTTAACGGTTTTTCGGACGTGCACTGACATCGTGACGTCTATCCCATCAGTGTCCCGAAACGTCGGGAATTAAAATCAAAAACCGAAAAGTAAAATAAAATATCCCTAAAAGTAATTTTATTCTATGTGCAGTGTTCGCGTAAATTTAAGAAAGCGTTATGTAGTTTTTCGGAATTAGGTTGTGCCATATAGAATGAATATATTGCTTCCATACATCCAACGCCAGTCCCTGGATTTTTAGGGTTACTAATTTGGCTATATTGTTATTAATATTACCTCACATATTTTACAACTTATCCCGTGGGTGCCGTAATAGTCGACGGTAAGAAACTTTGCTGAGCAGCAGCATCTTCCTGATAACTTAATAATATCCTAGATATCAGGAGACCATTATGTCTTTATTTTAATTTATTTCTATATTTATTATTCATTTACTTATTATTAAATCATTGTAAAAAAATCTAGACAGTAAAAGTAACCAACCACTCAGCTTAGTTATGCACATTTACACATGAAAGAACTAGTATCACAAAAGTGCAAATAAATATAATACATTTAAACAAATAAATAAATCATATCATACGATTTTCTTGTTCACGATTTTAGATTATTTTATCATTATTTAATTCGATGTGCACAATATCGTACGATTTTGCAATCTTATCGCCACGTAAGTTATCAATTATTGCATTAAAACAGATACGTAAATTTTATTTAATACAAGTGGTACAA